CGAAAATGTGCATGAAAGACTGATAGAAATATGAGGCACGATAGACATAAAGTCTTAAAATGTTGGCCTATTGTCTATTACAGCCGTGACATATCCCGACATAAGGTTTAGAATTAAATTAATATATCCTTGTCAAAAGGATTGGGCCTTACCTTGTTGTGTCACATTTTGTATAAATTAAGGGACTGCATTCAAGCCTAGTAAATCAATGATTCAAGCTTCCACATACCTCGGTTTGCTATCACATTTTGTAGCACGGTTCCTTCTGTCAACTTAAATCCAGCTTGCAATCTAAACACCGTTGCTGTTACGGAGCTCGTCACGATGACCAAAAGGAAACATAAAAACAATAATTTTCGGAACAGTTCACAAAAACTCATCATTGGTAAGAGCATTTTAGGGATGTGACCAAGAGGCTGGTTTGACCGAAAGAATGGCAATAATTTTGTTGTCTTTGTGAATCCACCAGCGGAAGGTTCGATCTCTGCTTGTAGAACTGTTGCTTAGCAGCTGCGTTAGATAAAATGACTCGTCTACTGTATAGTGGCGAGTCGATGTTTCATGCTACCAATGATTTATCCTAAAATACATGCGCGGCCGCAGGTAGGGGCAAGGTGGAGCACTTGCCCCCTCCCCCCCCCTGGATTGATTGGATTTAAAAAATTTAGACAAAAATAGACAAACAATTTATTAAAGTAAAGAGAAAATAAAGAGAAAGTAACTAAGGTGATGCCCTGTCCGTTCGTTCACCATACAAATACGCTACAGTAAATTAAAACTACATTAAAACATTACTAAAAATTGTTTGCCTCCCTCTGGAAAGTTAATCGATTTTTTTTTGCCTCCCCCTAGAAAGTTTTCTGCGGGCGCCCATGCTAACATATGCTGTTCTAAAGCTTTTGGCTTGTTGTTTTCTGTCCTGACTTTGCTGTACTGTGTGCTTTAATTAAACTGAATTATAAGTTTTCACTGACTGAGTTGGACAGCAATATTTTCTTTAAACGTTGTTGTTTTTTTTTTTTGGTTTGAAGTCTAATCAGAATTATTACTTGTTTTAATTAAAATTGATTATAGAAATTCTTGAAATTATAATCCAAATTAATTATTGATTCCCTTGAAGCCAACCCCTGAGAGAGAACTGTGTACAACGCTAACCATGTCGTGTTTGTCTGTGTACACCTTATGCCGTCGTGTACAGGACCACACGCTTAATGAGTGAAAACATCTTTGGATATGTGGTACACGTTTCACTCTACATGGCAACGGAAGTAATTTAATCTGTCAGAGCAGAATTTACAAAGAATGTCTTCTAAATATATTAACTGTTCTCTCGCTGCTCTTGTGTGCACGAAATTTAAAAATGATCACGATAACTCAATAAATGCCTTTAATCAATTCAGAAAAAAAAAAATTAACTCATTTTTTGACGTTCAAAGTCTTTGTGGAAGTTTTGACTGGAGTAATATCCTCAAAGTAAACACGTCCAGTTAATTAATGATAAGGAAAGCTAATGTCGTGGGGTGGAGAGTCGAGGGAAGGGTATCGGAAATCGCATGTTCTTATTGTCCCATCACCACCCCGCTCACTTTTCCTTCGATCCAGCACACTGGACAGTACCTCTTTGTCGTAGTTGACCTGTATTGTCAGCACGGAGATACTCAATCGACCGAACGAAAGTGCCACACGTGTCAACAAAATTATTCTTTACCAGACGGAAATACGGCTAGGGAGATGATCTCTAATCATCAAAACGCTTTATAATCGTGGAGGTGGAAAGTGAAATTGGAGGGGTGTCAAGGTCTTGACGTCAGCTATGGTGTGTGTGTTTTGAATTGGGGATAAATGGGGTTAGTAGCGAGAGTGAACGCTTTTCATGTCACGGGCGAATGCTAGTTTTGAGTGAACGAGGAATGAGATTTTGGGCGATAAAAGAGGAGGCAACTTTTGAGCCGGGATTATTATGTTCAGAGGGTGCGAGATATAACTTTAACTGGAGAGGTCGTGTTGATTTGCTCTAGGTTGGAGTGTCTGATTTGAGCGTGGATATTTTATTGCAAGTCTGGGATACCTGCTTTGCAATGATACTTGTACACATTACCCTTGTACACATTACCCTTGTACACATTACCCTGTGATTGTATAGCATCTAAAAATAAATACTGTTAGTTTACCTTGGACGCATGGGCGCCCGCAGGGAGGCCAAGGGGGGGGGGCGGGGGCACTTCATAGCCCATGTTCGACACGGGAAAGAAGCGGTTCGAATAAAACCACCGTTAAATAGCCTGGCTTGGTCTTCATCTTTACTCTTGGGTGTCTTAGTAGCGGGGCTATTCGGTAGCTGACTGCTTTTGCACCATGCCCTCTTGTCTCTATCTCTCTATCCATTTCTCAATACTCGACGAAATAGCTTCCCAGATATTTAAATTCATGGTGGAGCAGCTGACCACAAATCCAGTTGTTCTGGCGTACGGCCATGACCTCAGCCTAAGCTTTGCTGATTCTTATTTCATAAAGTTTGCTGAAATTGTTCTGACACTGAATTTCGATATGACAAAGCTGCCATATACCAATAATAGTTGTTGCTGTTACAAGGATGTACAAAATATTATTGTGTGACTGGTTTTACAGTTTAGTTGCATGCGTTCTCATTAATAAAGTTCAATAACACTGGATGACAAGGGAAGTAATCACTTCGATTAATCTGCCCTGTTCAAACATGTCTCTGCAACTACTCCTTGTTATCTTTCAGGATGCATTGGTCGTCTGCATATGGCAATGCGTTGAGTGCCTCGGTATTGAGATTGGCATCCTTGTGATTTTAATAAGCTTAATATTTGTTTATTATATAATTTACTTCAAAATTTTATTACACCATGAAAATCCAATACAATATTTGCATTTTTGTTTTCAAATATTTCCGAATTTACGGTGACCAGACGATCCAGTTCACCCGGGGCAGTCCCTACTTTCGTATCAACTGTCCCGGCGTCCCCAAAAGGTCAGCAAATGTCACGACCTGTGGCGTTTTCCGACGAACTGCGTACTTTTCCCTAGACCAGTGGTCGGAAAATTGCGGCTCTTAAGCGACCTAAGTGCGGCTCGGCCATTCGCCCACAAATCGGTATGTGTACAAACATAGTTCTTGACAGGTTCTTGAAAAACAATTTGGCTCCCAAAATTTTTTTAATCGTCCTGCTGCTGATTTTGGGCTCTTTTGACTAGTGCGTTTGCCGACCACTGCCCTAGACAGAGAAAAATTGTCCCCTTGTAAGACTCTTTTCTCTAATTAACAGCATGTTGACACCATATAACACATCGCAACTGAAAGTCGATACATTGAAACATATGCAGGTTGTCAAAGGCATTGTCAGTGATACATGTGAGAATTTTTATATGTTAATATTATTTTCAAAAGCCCTGATGTTCTGAGAGCTATCCACTCATCTCAGAAATATTAGTGTCATAATTATGAAATTAACCATTACAATACACTTGTTGATCCTTCATATATCTGACATACGTCGGTTTTGTCAATTTCTTTTAAACTTTTTTTTTTAAACATGCTAACAGTAGTTAGTTACTCAATGACACAAACGGTGTAAAACAGGGTTGTGTTCTTGCTCCCACACTCTTCAGTATTATGTATTCCGCAATGCTGTCTGATGCGTTCAAGGACTCCACCACGGGCTTGCCAATCCGGTTTCGTACTGATGGAAGGCCAAAGAAAGCGTTACAAAGACTCACTGAAAGTGGCACTAAAGGCCTTCAGCATAAACACTACTCAATGGGTGCAGACAGCCCAGGACAGAGCCAGATGGAGAGCTGCTGTCAAGAAGGGGGCTACATCCCATGAAGCTAAGAGAATAACCACAGCTGAGACACGCAGGCTTGTCCGAAAGAGCAACATTAGGTCATCGTCTGAAGCAACTATTCCATGCCCACGGTGTCATAGATTATTCCGAGCAAGGATCGGTCTAACAAGCCACCTAAGAGTTCACCGTAATCCCAACCCCCCCCCCCCGCCCGCCCCTAACCGGATGATTTGATGGTCCTTGTCGACTTCGACGGACGAACAACAACTCAATGACAAGCTGTCATTACTTCTATTATGGCCATTGAAATAGTGACATGTTCAATTTCAGACTCAGAAAGTATTAATAAATTACTCACAAAACACTTCTGGTAATTTTCTATTTTATTGTTCATAAATATTTCACCCGCGATTCCCGATCAACACAAAGTAAGGTTTCGGTTCGTCCATAACATATATTATACTATTTAATGTACACTAATGAATTAATTTCCTCTTCGGTTAAATTTAGTCAATTTTCACAAAACTTTTTAAGCTCCCCCCTCCCTGACACCCCCACACTCCCAACAAAACAACAGTGTCCCAAGTTACCCCCAGAAAAATCTGTTCACTGTACCGAAATGCATAAAACTAATTTTTTTTTTTTTTAACTTATGTTTTACAATGTCTATAGCTCAGGCATGCACAACTCAAAATGTAAGGTGGGCCGTACTACTTTATGAAAAACTTGCGCGGGCCAAAAGAATATAGGTCAGGGCTTGCGCGGGCCAAAAGAAAATAGGACAAGGGAAAGCTATTTAGAAAATAGTAAAAAATAAAGAATATTTCGTTACTTCGCGGGCCGCAAAGTGGGTGCTGGCGGGCCACATGCGGCCCGCGGGTCGTATAGCCTTAGTATAGCACTGTTCAATTTCTATAAAACGTAGGCCTTTAAAGCACGCTAAATTTTAAATAGGAAATGAAATAATTAAAGTTGTGGCAAGTACACAATGGTAAACTTCTAGCTAGGGACAAGGCACACACAGTTTAGCCCTTTGTTTGCTATGTCCAGGGACCCTATTATCCCACCTTACCTAATCCGGTCCTGCAACCTAAGGCAAACAGAGCTATCGCCCAATGTATACCGAAAGCTCACGGAGGCATAGCCAAATAAAAACTTTGAACCAGCCTTTCACTTCCTGTCAGGTTCAGTAACTCTTTGATTTTTGTATACCTTTCTTCGTTGCTTGTCCTCTCGTTGACACAAACAACAAATTAAGTTGAAATATTTTTCTATTACGCAGGCGTAAGTATCACACCAAACACGTCTAAGCTATTTTAATTTGTTTATGATTTTTTATTATAACTTTTCAATCACCCGATAACCGTCTTCAATTTTTCATCTGCCATTCATTCTCATTTAAATTAAAGAATGTGATTAATTCAAGCCTAATTTTAATAGTAGCCACTTTGATGAGATCCGGGAATTACCGAAAACCGGGTATCGTGATTTCGTTATCAAAATTGCGACCTCCACTTTTTAATTTACCGAGAGCCTGGTTGGTTACGATTTTTTTTTGTTAATTATAGCGCAGCAAGCACATTCTATTTCTGTCCATAACTTTAGACATGTTGTTTTATGATTATACGCTTTTTTTGTTTTAAAAAATATTTGAAGTCTTAACTTTGAAACTTGAAGGTAAAATAATGCTTATTTTACTCATTCATGTTTTGTTTTTTTTGGAAAGGGTGTCTTTCTTAAATAAAAAGACGACGGGAGATAATAGCATAAATTACAACATATCAAAAATTCAAGAGGTTACCACCCAGTTCAATGGTCAAAAAATGCCTACCAAATTTTTGTCACATATGTCCCAAAAGTAGGGGTGTGCCGGATCCGTTTTTTCCAACCGGATCCGGATTTTCTTATGCGAAATCCGCCGGATCCGGATTCCGGTTTCTCCCGGATTCCGGATTTTGGTACTATTGGTAGATACTTCGGTAAGTCAAGGTGGACTACTACTTTTTGTGTATGGGAATTCGCAATCGGCGCCAAAAAATCCGAGTTTTTAATTTTCCGATGTGTGTGTCTATTTATTATTAAATTAGTACTTTCGATATATATTTGAGTTCCGTTCCATTTGGATAAGTGTCTTACGAGAGACGCCATGTTTCTACGCGTTCGCAGCAGGTCATGCAGCTCGCTCAACCTAATTTCGCCATGGGGTTGGCCACGCCCCCCTTTTTAATGGCGGAAGTTGACGATACTTAGGAAATATTAATTTATTATCACTATTTACATCAAAATAATTGATAACTTGTGTTTCAGAATGCATTTAAAGACATTTAAACTGGAATGTTTTAATTTGAGCTTTAACAACCCGGTAGAATCCATATTATAAATGATCAGAATTTACCGTGTGCAACACGTTGTCATTGGCAACCATTCACAGCCACTTGCATAACTGTATCGTAGTACTACCTCAGAGTTTCATTCATAAGAGTTTGCCGTGTGCAAAAACTATTAAACCATTGGTCAGGGAAAGCTTTAATTAATTATTCATGTGCCAAAGTTGAAAGTTTAAACTAAGTCTAAACAGTATTTTAGTGATAAGGCAGGGAATGCGTTGCCTTATATAAACTATATAGTCATTGCGCATGACGGGATTGGTGGAATGAGATCACAGAATGTGGAGATGCAGTCCATGTTAAAAAATGACAAACCAAGTCGTACTTTAAAAATTCATAACTTTAAAACTACAACAGCTAAAAATATGATTTTGGTGTTATAATTCTTTAAAAAATTACATCTTTTCAACTATGCCATTGGTTTATTTTTACAAAAAGTTTAAATTTTCTTATCAAAGTCCCTACACTATTGGCCACTATTAGCGGTGCTGACTCTAGCCTCTGGTATGTACGGAATATTAAACATTAAACAAGCTCAACGCTCGAAACAATCGATTAATGTATCGTGATCGTGTGGAATTCGGGAAAGAGAATTACTTTTATTTCAGATTATGATCCGGTGAGTCACAAAATCTGGCAAATTCCGAAATCCGGTATATTCCGGAATCCGGTTATTCCGGATAGTGTAAAATCCGGCGGAACCGGATTCCGGAATCCGGCACACCCCTACCCAAAAGGACCTATTATCGATAACGATTTTTAATAATAAAAAAAAAAAAAGTAAATAACTTAATTTACAATGGAAATCCAGCTTATTACTCCAAAATTACTCATTCAAAAACAAAAACAAATAATTTAATAACACAGATACCTATTTTAACAACATAAATATATATTTTTAACTTGTTTTGATGCTTTTTATTGAGGGGTATTGACTTGGGTAGTGGGTTAAACTGAATTTATTATTAGCCTCATTATTATTATTATAATTAATATATTAAATATAGCAGCTTAAGGGGGCAGGCTACAAAAAAAAAAAATTTTAATCAACCAACTTAGAGCAACTATTTTATTATGGTCATAGTCATGTTGAGCTATGAATGGAGATATATTTTCATGCTTTAAAAAAAAAATAATTATATAGTTGCCATGGCAACGGCGGCCATCTTGAAAATAATACCCATTCGTAGAGTTCTAAAATTTTAAAAACAAACATACATATTGCTTAAAAAATGATTGATTCATGAACTTCAATTATATTTAGAGGTACTGAGCTAGTTTAATTTCCTTCAAACTTTTCAAAACATTTTTTTTTTAATTTTTAAAATTTGCCTCAGCAGAAAACGCTTAAAATTTACCATCCTATGATATGAAAAAAATTATTTTAACAAAAGTAATTGACCAAATTTATTTTTGAATAGCTCATTACCCACAAAATAGTTAAAGGAAGATACACACCAAATTTTATTACTCTAGCTTGTATATTAGCTGAGATTTTAGAATTCTACTTTACAAAACAACAGAAAAAAACAAAATTTGAGAAAAATCAATTTTTAACTTTAAAAGTGAAAAATTTTAAGTTTAATATGAAAATGAAGTTCTTTTACATAGTTTTTTTTTTGTTCAGTAACATGGACATGGTGGTTTCTTATATTATTGAACTGTTGAATGCACCAGGAACATGGGTTTTAACTTCTTGAACTTCATCAGGTGCTCTTGTCAAAATCAAAATTTAAAAAAAAAAAAATTTTCCTCTGGAATAAAGCTAATTTGTGTTGTATTAGAATTTTTTGTTCAGCATTATAATATAACACAAGTTACCCAAAATCCCCAATCAACCCATTTGTCCATGATCCTTTTAATCATGCTTAGATGACAAGGTTATGTTGCTGTCACCATCACTGAAATTGAAGCATAAATAGTTTCATGGCAGCAATGCTATGTTGAAACTTTTGTACCTATTCTGTGTACTTCTTTTATCAAAGATGTCCCTCATACCAGAGGTGAATGAGTTATTTGTCTATTAGAAATGTAATAATTGGCCAAATACTTGCTCATAAATGTTTCATGTCTTCGGCATAGCGCAGTTTTTATACTTTAAGCAGGTTATAAATTTTGCGATGCAGCTGGATTGTTCATCGCAGATATCATAGATTGCAACTTTTCATAGTCCATGCCATTGTCCTTCAGGCCTTAGAGTCTATAATTGATAATGACTTGGTTATCTAGTTGTTGATATGAACAATCTAACCACTCACAATCTAGTCATTGTTATATTCATAGTATTTACTATTTTGTTTTGCAATCAGCTGTAAGTTATGGCTTCTGCAATTTGTCCATTCCACTGCAGACAGAAGAAAATTGGTAAAAGCTTTGAATTATGATCATATCGAAATCAATGCTTAGCAGTCCCTCTATAGAAATTCTTTTCACTGAAGTCACTGAAGAATTAACTTTTGCTCGGCTGGGTAGAACTAATTGGGGGCTGGAACGGAATTAAAAAATTATATAAACATCATTTAGCAAATAATATATTGAAAATGATCTCAATAAGCCTATTAGTATTATTTAGATGTATAGGATTGCTTAACTAAATATTTATTTTATTATAATTACTATTATTAGTCTAATGAACTGATCTTATAAATAAGAAATAATATAAAACTAATTAGCTATTACTATTAATAATTGTATGCAGATACAAAAAAATTAATAAGGCTAAGATTAAACTATTTGAGTTAAAACATTCTAATACGAATTATTTTGCCCATACTGCTAATGGTAATACCATAATTATAGTAGTATTACGGCATAATATTGCGTTGTTGTTATTGAATGTTAGTCCTAGTCTTAGTCTATGCCTATACTATTACTTTGAACTACTTGATCATTTATCAATGTTGTTTTGTTAGACAACTATAAATAAATTGACTTAGGATTAATATAATATAACAATTCACTTGATTGTTAAATATAAAGACTAATAGTAGAAACTTATGTAATTCTCCGCATAAGGCATAAGCTAAACATAAACTCACAAACAATCCACACGCACGATCAATCATCATGGCAACACAGTGACAGTACTGACGTCCGAACTGAATATTTTCAACTATCACCGATTGCGTGTTGCTAAATTAAGGTCATTTTTTTTTTTTAGTATACTTACCTTGAATTTCTGGCTTTTGCCGAATGGGTAAGGTTGTAAATGTGTATTTTAAAATCAAAATCTGCTGATGCTTTCGTTTGCAAAATTTCGTTCTATACACAGAACCATGATCCGGTAAACACACATAAACAACTCATTTGCGCAAGTCAACGGTATCTTGGTTACCCTCCGTTTGGACCAATGAAAATTGGTAAAATAATTATATAAATAGAAGCGAAGAAAATCCTACAAACATTTCACTTGTGGATCCGATTATTTGTAGCAATTATATTTACTGACTTCGATTCTTAATATAAAAAAACTGCTTGAATTTACCTTTACGTTGATATATAATAATAGCATATTATGTTATTTAAAACTAGTTTTTTGAGGTCTCAAACATGGGATATGTTAGGAATTTTATTTTATTTCCAAAATTAGGTCAATTTTTAGAGTGGGGTGGGGTGTTAAATATCAGTTGTTTCACAACAAATCTTTAAAAAAGTAGCATAAATTGATGTGTAATCGATTCTAAGAATGTTCATCTTGGTAAAAATAAAAAAATGGAAAATTTTTGAAAAATTTAGATATTTTCGGGCGCCTACCCCCTTAATATATATATACAGGCCTAGAAAAGTATAGTATTTTAAGTATAGGTCTAGCTCCACCCCAACTCATTATTTTTGTGACACATTATTTTTTTATTTGTTATGATATTTTAATGAATATTATGATTCTTAATGCATAGATTCAGCAAAAATGTAAACAAAAAAATAATCACTTGCCTTTCATATTGAAATATCCTATATTTAATCACATATCACAATATTTCACAAGAGAATTATTACATAATCCTTGGTATTCTCAAAGAAAAAGCACACTTTCTGCCACAATAGTCCAAGAATTACTTAAGATATTATTAATAATATAAAGAACAATCATAAAAACTTATACTTACCACAAGCAAATGACTAGAACTTATTTTAGTTTGTATAAACCACCAAAGTTGATTCCATCAATGCATGTTAATTTGTGAAACAAGATTACTAACTTGTAAAAAATGACATACTATTTTTTTGTCATATTCAGACATTCATATGATATGGGACTAAAACACATATATAGAAAATGGTAAAATAAAAAGTATAATCGTAAATTTTAACTAAATGAAACAAGTAATCCCTTTATTATTAGTTTATACTTATAAATGTTAAACAATGCCACAGAAAATTTGAAATTTATATCTAAAGAATATTATTATTATTATGATTTTAGGGAAATTTTAAAAAATATATTGAAACAAAATTAATTAATTAATTTCAAATAAGTGATGAGTCATCATATTTATACATGTTTTAAACGGAAAATAATTAAGATTTTTATTTTTTATTTTTGCGGAATATTATCAAAAACTAACTTATATTTTGTGGCTTTATTTAGAAGTACTCTTATTTAACTATGTTCCCTGTAAATATTATATTTTTGTCTCATTTTACCATAAAGTTATATGCATTAAAAAAAAAGAAGCAAATTGAGGGTCACGAAATGTGGAGGAAAATCCCATAGTAAAAAAGTGCCTTTTAGGTCCCTACTAAAAAATTCATAACTTTTGAACCACTTGAGCTAGAAAGTTGATCTTGGTGTTTTTGTAATCTATTCTCCAGGCTCCATGCAGCTGTAGTATTTTTATATTTTTAAAAATGATATGAAATTTTCATAAAATTGCCTATTAAATAATAAAATGTTAGTTATTGATATTGTAAATTGTTAGCGGACACTATTCTGAAAATTCAGTATATTCCTCTAGTATAGCCTATGCCTATATTTATTTAAAAATAAGCATAGGCTCATATATTATAATAATGGTTAATCTTGCAGTTCATAATCATGTGCATATATTATTTCTGATCGAAATCCAGACAGTGATAGTTAACCATTAACTAATAGTATACTGAATTATACAGCGCTTATTTTTATTTTATTTTATTTCTTTGAACATCCCAAGACCTTTCATAGCTCCATTTTTTTTTTATTTTTCACCCTTTTGCTAGATTTTTAATCACCTTTAAGTTGGTATGCTAAACGAAATTTTCAAATTCTAGGCATGTTCACAAAAAGAATGAAATATGTGGGTGGGGGGTTGAACTTAGTTAGATGTTCCGTTATTTTTTAGGGGCTCAAAATTCTTTTTTTTTTTCTTATATGGGTGTGTAAATATAATTCCAAACAAAGGCTCCTGCATGGGCATGGGTGAATGGAATGAGATCAAACTTAGTAAACAAACACTTGATCATCCATATTCAAAAACTGGTACTGAAGGGTAATGAATGGAAGTATTTTCATCGCAAACACCACCGATACCTGTGGTGAGATGGCCACTGGGTATTTGGCGGCACGTGTAAATGCTTTCTCATCGAGGTTCTGGACTGTACAGCTGCTACAATGGAGCCGTTGATTCAACAGTATATCCTCACGTGTACACATGTTTTTTTAATTTACTTTCTCCAATATGTCTGATATTATAACTGTTTTATTTACGTTCTTCAATATTTCTGATTTAATGAATGTTTTATTTAGGCCTAAATTCTCAAACGGCAGGATATATTTCCAATGTAATATCTGTTGTTTTATTTTTGCTAAATTTAATGAATATTATAATATTATTTTATATAAATTTATTTTGTGTGAACTAGCTTTTAGTTTGAAAAGTTGAGCATCAATAAATAATTTAGGTATAATTTAATATAAATCGAATTTCCTGTTTTGTTTTTTGTGAATAAGCCTTCAGTTGAAAAATTGCAATCTGGCATGTAGGGGAAATGGAAAACTGCAATCTGGCTTGTAGGGTGAATTTAAAAAAAACAGGAATTGGAGAGATCATTTACACTACCGGCTATGTACCAATGGGGGCTGTAAAAATCAATAAAAAGAAAAGTTAGTGCAGTGCAATTTAGTGTTAGGGTTAACTAATACTGTCTGGACTAAATTTTATAAAGAATAAACGTAAGTTTACATGCGATAATACGAAATTCGAACAGAAATAATATACACATCTGAACTGCAAGATTACCTAATAATGCAGAAGCCTATCCATCTATAACTACTAGACTACTAATTAATTTATTTTATTTTTATTTAAAAAATTATATTTAGACAATTTAGTTTTCCTGTCACTGTTTAGTCTGCGATAGAAGTATAGACTATATTTGTAGTATATATATCATAATATATGACAATAATAATAATAGGCTTATGGATATGAATATGCAATCCCATAGTTTTCCTTCTTTGGCTTAGGCCGCAAGGCTTACAAAAACATAAACTAACATTTACATAATAATAAGTAAACAAGCCCAAATTAGTTAGCCGTCTGTTCTTCTGATCTTTTTTTGTTCGATAAGGACTTGTGCCCATTCTTATTTCTTTCATTTTTCAGGTATGGGTAGGATATAAGGCCTACAAATATTATATATAATGAATGTAAATTTAATTTATAATTATATTTCATTTTTTTGTTGTACAGATAAAAGCATTCCGACACGTTTAAAATTTTAATTTTTGTCTAATCATAATTAAAGCTTAACATATATTATTAATAGTTAAATAAGTTAATTAGACCTGCCCTATGTGTTACTATTAAATTAAAGTAAAACAAAAGTTATAGTTAATTAAAGAACTATTAGACTTGTTTGATTAGGCCTGTGCCTTTTTTCCTATTATATAGGCATACACATTTAGACATCTACTTGACAATGACATCACCCAGTTTTTTAGTTGAAAGTGGCAGTTCATAAAAGATTTTACACATCAGAGGTGTGTGTATGGCCCTCGTCTTAAATATAAATCTGGTTTCGAAAGAACTTTAAGCTATAATACACACTATAGTACTTTTCATCAACTATGAAGTGAATTTAATAATAATATGTGGGTAGTATGTAGATATTATTAGCCTACCATATCTTAACGCAACCCACATATAACTTTTTGTTTTAAAAAACCCTTAAAATGCCAAGTCCACATATAATGTGATGTATTAATCTTGTTCCATAATAATACAATACTTATTATCAAATTTAATATTTATTTATTATAAAAATGTCAAAATTCTTTAAATTATTATAATATTCAAATAAACTGTGGTCATACAGTTGCAACTATGCTAATATCCTGTCGAAGAGTAACTACTTACATTACTGGTGTTATCCTCAAATTTGATGCGCACTAGGTCGCTGAATGCATGAGGGCCTAAAAGATTTGGTTGCCTAGGCATTAATATGAATTAGTCAGTTATGAAAAAAAAATTTGTTTATCTTGTGTACAATTTTAAGTAGCATTTTTTACCCTTATTTTCTTGCGTTATACGCAGTACTTATTTGGTAATAAGTGCATTATAAAGTCTAAAGTGTAAATTAAATAAATAATATGTAGCTATGTAGGCCTAATTTCTAAAAGGTAGGTTTCTTTTAATGTCAGTTAATAATATTAAGTAATGAAGACTCCAAACTAAGAGATGATTGCTGGTTTTAGAGAAAACAGATCATGTACTGACCAAATTGCAACCCTGCGCATAATCATAGAACAGTGCTTGGAGTGGAATGCTTCATTGTACCTACATGTTGTCGACTTTCAAAAAGCAATTGATAGCTTAGACAGAGATACACTCTGGAAACTACTAAGACATTATAGTATTCCCCAAAAGCTAACTAACTTAATTAAGAACATGTACAAGGATATGAGTTGTAGGGTTATACATGAAGGTGAACTCACAAACCCATTTATGATAGAATCTGGAGTTCGACAGGGATGCCAGCTCTCATTATTCCTCTTTCTGTTATCCATTGACTGGACCATGAGAGAAACAACACAGGATGGGGATAATGGAATCCAGTGGACACCTTTCAGACAGTTGGAGGATTTGGATTGTGCAGATGACATTGCACTTTTATCACATAGAAATAAACAAATGCAGGAGAAAACAACAAAACTCGACTCTGTATCGCAGCAAGTTGGACTTAGCATAAATAAAGAGAACACCAAGACCTTAAGAATAAATGCAGTGGAGGATGGTGTCATTGGGATTAACCTGAGAGGAGCGTCTCTTGAGGAAGTTGAGACTTTTACATACCAGGGAAGCATCATAAATAAAAATGGTGGCACAGATGAGGACATAAAGTCTAGGGTCCAAAAGGCCAGACTTTAATTTTTCAGTGCCCTGCGAAACACCTGGAGCTCAAGTGAAATGCTGACAAAAACAAAGTTAAAAATATTCAACTCAATTGTCAAGACACTTCTTCTGTATGGATGTGAACCTTGGAGAACAACATAAACAAACATTAAAAAACTGCAGGTTGCTTGCGAATGATCCTCAAAATAAGATGATTTGACAAAATTTGTAACACTGTCCTTTGGTAGAGAACATCAATTGTTCCAGTGAAAAAGGACATAAAAATGAGAAAATGGAGATGGATAGGGCACACATTAAGGAAACCAAACACTAAGCTCACAAGTCAGGCCCTGAACTAGAATCCTCAAGGTACCAGGAAAAGAGGAAGACCAAGAGCCACATGGAAGAGGGGAATAGAGACAAGGGAAGGGAATGAAGAAATGCTGGGCTGAACTAGCAAAAATAGTCTAGGACAGGGACAGATAGAAAAGTATTGTCGATGGCCTATGCTCCATTGGGAGTGAGAACAGCTAAGAAGAATATTATTAAGTTTACTGCTGAATGTTTTAGCCAAAATGGAAAAACTAAAACCTCAATTTCAACTTAAAAAATTCAAGTATGACTGAAATCTTTCAACCTTTGATGAATTATGGTAAATGCAAATTAGGTACATCTATTTTTCTAGCTAGATAACCATTGCCTTTCAAAACTTTAATGTGGAGAAGTAATGACAAATTGAATGAAGTTATTACCTCTTGGTTATAGGTGGATATAGTTGAAAAAGGTATGTGGAAGCTTGAATTAAGAAAAAGGAAATGAGTAAAACAAAGTATTGGAAAACCTGTAAAAGGGAATGCAACAAAACAATAAACGCATCGACAGGAAGTCTTTTGTCAGCGAATTAAGAAACAGGACAATGAAACAAGAACGTTCCAGCTCAGAGCCTTCATGCAGATGACGTAGAAGATTATAGACAGCTTAGTATATGTTTAGCCTTATATGTTTCTTGTTTGAGTCTTCATCCCAAACTGCTAAAACAATAATATAATAAGTTTTAAATTACCTGTTTAACTTGTTCCTAAGGTAAAAATGTAACCTAATTGGAAAAAAACTTTAATTTTTCCATTCAAAATGGTAACCACTTGTATATTTTTCATCAATCTGTAGCAAGAGCACACCATGGGTTCTGCAGTTGAAAATGTCCTTACCTTAGACACTCTCAACCCTAATGTCATTGAACTCCAATATGCTGTGAGAGGTCCAATAGTCATTAGAGCTACACAGATTGAAGACGAATTGTTAGCCGGAGAGAAAAAGCCTTTTCCCAAGGTGGTCAAAGCCAATATAGGTGATTGTCATGCAACAGGACAAAAACCTATTACATTTATTCGCCAAGTTCTTGCCCTATGCACCTACCCTGAATTGTTGAAGAGCAATGATTTTCCCGCTGATACTAAGGAAAAGGCAAAGAGGTTGCTTGATGGCTGTAAAGGTCACAGCCTAGGATCCTACTCTGATAGCTGCGGGCTTAATGTCATTAGAAAAGATGTTGCAGCCTTTATTGAAGAAAGGGATGGCCATCCCTCTGATTTCAATGATATTGTTTTGAGCACCGGTGCCAGCGATGCAATCAAGTCTGTGATGACCCTGCTGCTCACAGCCAAAGATGGTGTCAACAAAGCTGGGTTCATGATTCCCATTCCCCAGTACCCACTTTATTCTGCAGCTATTTCTGAGTTTGGTGCTCACCCTATTCCTTACTACCTCAATGAGAAGGCCAGTTGGTCTCTAGACGTGAGTGAGTTGGAGCGGGCTATTGATGCAGCCAGGCCAGTTTGCAAGCCCAGAGCCATCGTCATCATCAACCCTGGTAACCCTACAGGTGCCGTCCTCACCAAAGAGAATATTCAGAAGATAATTAAGTTTGCCAAGAAAGAGAAGCTGTTCCTGCTAGCTGATGAGGTTTACCAACATAATGTGTATGCTGCAGGAGCCAAGTTTTATTCCTTTAAGCAAGTCCTGATGGAGCTTGGATCACCATACAATAAGATGGAATTGGCCTCTTTCATGTCTGCATCCAAGGGGTACATGGGAGAATGTGGTTACAGAGGAGGCTATGCAGAGGTAATGCACTTTTCTGTAATCCATTTTAGTTTTTACTAAGTAATTTTACATTTCTTCTCTTATTCATTTATAGAGAGGGAAAAACTAAAATTTGGTTAATTTATTCGATAATACCATGAATTATCTCTTTCCATCGGATTATTTTAAAGGGTTTCTCAAGCTATTATATTTATTACAATTATTTTCTGTGTCGGGTTGATCCTGTATTTAAGTATATGCCAAAACTTGCCAAGTGTACTTGTTTTGATAGCCATTTTAATGTTTTAGCTACTGTTTTTATAGTCATTTTTCACATAGTAGTTACTATTCTAGTGTCTCTGGTTTTTCATTTTTATTTGCTTTAGCAGTTTAAATAGTTTACATATTTTTAATAATTGTAAAGTGCTTAGAGCTGTAAGGTAAGTGCTATACAAAAAATGCCTAAATAATAATAATAATATCTTTGACACAAATATCATCTGTGTCTAGTTTATTCATGTCTAACTGATCCACGCATGTGTTGCTTAACTTGGTAAAGTAACACGTTAGAGGGGGGAGGGATTTAAACATATGCATTAAAAATAAACATTTTATTTTCAGGTAATAAATCTTTTGCCAGAAGTTAGGGCAGAGTATTACAAAAGTATATCTGCCAAACTGTGCCCCCCAGTATCAGGACAGGTAGTAGTGGATTGCGTTGTAAGCCCTCCCAAATTTGGTTAGTGGAAAACACTAAGAACCATTGTTTGTGGTATGTGTCTTCTGTAAACAACATTTGTGATGTAGTAATAGACTTCATATTCAAGGTTTTAAATTTCATAAATATATCATGTTTGTGAAGTTAATCTAGAAATTATCTGAGTTTATTTAACTTTTGTGAAGTTAAAGATTTTCTTGTTTTTTGTAATTGCCATTCTCTGACATCCCTAAATATTGTATAGCTGCTTTATCCCCTGTTGATTTAGCCATTATGATTTTTGCATGAGATTAAGAATATTTGTTTTTAAATAAACATTTTTAGGTGACCCATCTTACGAGCTTTTCTATGAGGAGAAAAACTTTGTCCTAGCCAAGTTAAAGGAGAAAGCTGAACTCATCACAAAGCTTTTTAATTCCATTGAGGGGATTACATGCAATGAGGTATACCAATGCTAAGAAATAATTATAAAAATTTTGCTATTCTGCCAATTTAAAAATAGATGTATTGACGTATTAAAAATAATTTGAGTTTTCAGGAAATGTCCAGATATTAATCTAATTCAAACACATGCTCTTCAATTTAACCAAATGATGGTACAATTTAAGGCTAGTTAAATGAACTATTAATTAATTTTAGCAAAGCAAGAGTCTTATTTCTGGGCCTCTCTAATCTGCAGTGTCCTAACTGTGGGGTACTAGTCAATCTGTTACAAATAGCTCATTAGCACATTTCAGCAATGAAGGGAAAATTCAGTCCCATTGTGCATATTTTACAAATTCACTTAATATCATTGAGTATTAAAACTATTTCATACATATATATTTTCCAGGTCATGGGTTCTATGTATGCCTTCCCTCGTATCTATTTACCTGAGAAAGCCATCCAAGCCGCCAAAGCTGCTGGCCAAAGTCCAGATGCCTTCTACTGCTTTGCCCTCCTTGAACAGACTGGAATATGCACTGTACCTGGAAGTGGCTTCAGGGAAGAGGAGGGAACCTATCACTTTAGAACTACAATTTTGCCACCGGTAAATGTTTCCTCATTTTTAGTTAATTTTTTTACATGACCTATAACAAGACCCAGGAACAGGTGTAATTATCTACTACTGACCTCCATCTCGATATTTTTAAAAAAGCAAGTAAAATACAATAGCTCCTCTTATTTGATAAGAGCTCTGTAAGTCTTAAATGTGATCTTCATTTTAAACTCTAATAATTGTTTTTTTACACAAATCAAACAAAAAATCATATCTTATAAAGAACCATTTTGACACAAATGGAATCCAAAATGTCTATAAAATGTTGTTCAATTTTTATTCAGAGCCCAAGTAAAAAAAACATAGATGACCTAAATTGAATCTAAAAAGTGAATAATTTAAATTTAAAATCAACAGGTGGCAAATAAAACTGACTAACATTTAAATCTTTTTGCTTAAGTGGTGCTGATATATCTGATTACAAAGTGAGTTCGCAGCAATGTTTCTGCTGAGTCTTATGTCTTCCTTTTTTAAGTCTACCACGGATCCTAATTTTGTTTCACTAGAATAAAATAATTATGAAATTTTCTTTTTCTGGTGGATCAAACTTAGGATTTATTAGGCATGTTTTAATAATTTATTTATTGATGTAAATAATAGGCAGAGTGTTTTAAAATGAAGTTGAAATTATGTGTCATCCATCACTTTCCTTGATTGACAATTTTTAAATAATAATTTTTTTAAAAATGTAAATGTATTTTATTTCATACCCCTCCCATTAATTTTACCATTAATTATTTGTCGGCCATTTTAGCTTACATGTTGTTTGACATTTTTCTGTCAATTTTTTTCATGCAGAATATATGACTCCTTCCAAACCAAGAACTCTGTTGAAAAGAGTTAATAGTTATGTTATGTAAAGATGATATATTGCTCATATTAGGTCAAGGTTGACAACTGTGAAATGCTTTGAATCTTGCCTTGACAGGTTGAAGAATTGAAGGCAGTTTTGGCCAAATTCAAGGACTTCCATCTTAACTTTCTCGCCAAATACAAGTAAATCTCATGATGATGCCCCTTGTTATGTAAGTATATAAATCACAATTTATTTCAGAATAATTTAAAGAGGTGCTGGTATTGTGCATCAGTTTATTTAAAAAAATATTACAATCTATATTAAATGGACTTGTCAGTGTTGCTTGGGATGGAGGTAAGAAAAACTGTTTAAAAAATCCCCAACCACCTAAGCTGGAAGAAAACAATTTGTTGAGGGATTAAATGCCTCCTGTCTTGATACACACAAAAAGAAAAGAATGTCCGTAAAATAATTTTTATAAGTATTGAATCTGGCATTTTAGGTTGAAGGCATTCCTGAATTGACATGCTGAAATCAGAGCCACAAGTTTCTGCAATTGGAAGGACTACAGATATTTTAAAACAGAATCTAAAATTTCCATTCAAGTCAGGTCTAAGTTGCATAGTAAAAAGCTATGAATTAATTTTCTTATCATACAATGTTGTTCTCATCTGGCAACCTGTCTTATAAAATTTATTTTCAGGACTACCAATGAAAGACATCAAAGAGAATATAAAGAGGTGACAATTATTGTTTCATTTTTAGCAGAATAAAAATACAATGTGTTTTTGCCTCTATTAGAGACAAGTAAATCTATAGCATTTTTATTTTATGTTTTGGTTACTTTAAAACAGTGTTGTAATGCTTTTTTATCTTCAAAACTATGATACCATTAATAGTAAATTTTATGATATAGAATTTTTCATTTCATTTTAATTAAAAGTTTCTTAATTGAGATATTTGATTTAGATATATTTAAATTCTATTGCTAACAAAAATCTATTATGACCTAGCTTAAATAATTGTATAACAAGCCATATACCAACATGTGGATTTATATGTGTAGTTTATTCAACATTTACAGTTATAGACTGGAGCACCATCATTACAGTGTAAGCTCAGTGTACTAGGCACTGATTTATGTAAGGGCTGGTATAGTAGTTTTTCTTTGACGATTTACCACAATCTAATGTAGCTATATAATTCAATCAAAATGTTGCCCTCAAATTTTCATTTTAAATAAATGTGACGTCAGTTTTCTTTCTGCCATTTGTGTCAGCTGGGAGTCAAATTATGAAATATTATTTGCTAAATTGTTGTTCTGATAAATACCTCACTCAGCATTGGGCTTTTCCTTTTCGTCTGTTCAAAATCCATTGCAAATAATCAAACACCTAATGCTTGTTTGATCATGTTATCTTCTAGGGTCTTGGAAGCAGCTGTTTCGTGTATTAGTTGTCAATACAGAAATATTACACAGATGTTATAAAACGTATGCATTTTTTATATTTCAAGCTAATGAAATTGTACTTTGCTCTTGCTTAGTAATTAAGAGCTGACAGGCCATCAGTTTATTTATTGAATACATTTTTTTTTTTACATTATTATAAGATTATGACCTAGCCAGATTTTCTGACAAGTTTTTGAATGTTTGTTGTTTAATTAAACTAAAGTATTTCATTTAACAATATAAAAATATTTTTTACACACAGACAGAGATTAAGTTTACTCAGTGTTTTATTTTAACTAATATTTTGATAAAGGCTTGAATTTTACCAGGTCCCCTGAAAACAGACTACAAAAATAATTAACAAATTTCAAGCATTTCATTTGCCAGGTATGCATGGCTATTTTGAGGTTTCTAGTTTCATTTATGTTGTTTTTTTCGTTTGAGCCCTGCATTTTGCTTTTAAGTAACTATTCTAATATTTTCAGCTGCAAGTTGTTTCAATGAGAGCACTTTAACTGCTTGAATTTAAATGCTTTATAAAAATTGTTGCTTGGATTTTGAAATAACTATCACAATTGAGCAACTAATTAATATTTGTTTTATTTGAATTGCTGTCTGAAAATCTTTTAGACACTGTAAAATGGGAAGATTTGGGAATCTGCAGTTACCTGGAGCAAAGAATTCATACTCTTTTCATACCTAACACTTTCAAAAATTGTACAATCCTTATATGATTATGTTTTGCGATGCCTACAATATGAATAGATTTTGAAAGGGAATGTAGATCCCATTTGATCAATACAGACCTATTGGGTTTTTTTTGTGTGTAAGTTTCTTCATGGAACCAAGCATTTTCCTTCATGCACTCCCCCCTAGTATTTCCATTGTTTACTTAAAGTGACTTATTTATAAATCTATGCAAGAACTAAACTAAATATAATTGAGGCTAGTTAAACTGAAAATCAAAATGTTATTTACTTATTGGGTAAATTGAGTTTAAAATAGTTAATATTTGCTGTTATGCATTTATTGAAATAGTTTTTTTTAAAAGAACTAAACTAAATATAATTGAGGCTAGTTAAACTGAAAATCAAAATGTTATTTACTTATTGGGTAAATTGAGTTTAAAATAGTTAATATTTGCTGTTATGCATTTATTGAAATAGTTTTTTTTAAAACATTTATTTTACTATAAAGGGAATTTTTTTTACCAATGTTATGCCATTAATTAGTCCTTGCTTTTTTTTTTTAAAGTATTGTAAAATTTCTTTACTTTATTGAAATTAGCAATTTTGTAGTTTTGTTACCCATGCTGCAAGGATTGATGTATTTTTCCCCCCACCTCAACCCTTTTTGGAAATAATACTCACATCATGTCACATTAATACAATACGGTACACATTATTGTTATATTTTCTTATTTCTATTACAGTTGTCAGATAAATGTTTTGTGTTTTTTAATAGAAATGAGCTTTGCGATTTTTCCCATCCACTAACATTTAATTCTATTTTAAAACTTAATCTTCTTCTTCTGTCCACTTCTAATGGAGCGTTTTCACGCGAGGTACTGATGGTGATCCGGGGCAGGGTTTGAGGCCTGCTGATGGGATGATTCATGTTGTGGACTTTGAGGGTGTCAAATATTTGATGTTTCAACTATTTTTAGTCAATATCACCAGTGTATAAAGATGCTGCAGATGTAACAAGGATTCTTATAATTGGCAGACTCTACAAGTCAGCCAATGTACTTCAGAGTGTATTGTAGGTGTCTCTACCTCTAGAAAGAACCCAATACAATGCTGGCCTACTTAGCTTGCAAAATAATAAAAGTTTCAAGAATCATTCATGCCAAACAGATTTGGCTGTCTGACCTAAGTCTGATTAATGCCTCACTATGTGCTGAGTAGGCACCTCATATTGTTATAAATAGTGATTTGAAACACTAAAATTAAAATCACCCAACTTGTCATGTTTTTTTATTTTAAAAATCCTAAAAACTTTTTAAAAATGACCTTTTTCTTCACTTCTTTTACAAGCACTATGGCTTATGTCCGAACTTCTTTCCCATTCCAAACACTCCAAGCTTTACCCGTTTTGTAGATCATGTCTACATTCATCCACATCTTATGTATTACTAATGTTCCCATGTCAACATGTATATTTTAGTTTCTTCAATGGTTGAGTTATGCTTCACCAAAGAATCAGTCAGGTCTATTTTTGGTGATTGTTGTTTGGTTGATTTAAACAGAGTTGCTTTATTCAACAGAAACATTCATTTTATAGGAATTTGTTTCTACAACTTTATTCCGATTTTCTTATATTTGTATTTTTAATGTTATTTTAGTGGAAGTGGCTTAATGACTCGGATCATTTTAGTATGTAATGCACAGAGAAAATGTTATTATAAATTATGAAGGACATAATTTATCTAAAAGGATATGTTTTATTTTATTGGATTAGATGTTAAAACTATTTTTATTTACCTATCTAAATCTTCTCTTCTGAGGCTAATAGCTTTTGCCAGCACCAGGCTATGTGCATTTATAGAAGTGGACTATAAACTATTTTTAACATACATACATACATCATATATACATACATGCCAACCTGTGGAATCAAAAAAACTTTGAAAAAAGTTGTTGTTTTTTAAACTACAAAAAAAATTTAAAAGTTGAAGAACAAAAAGTAATTATAACTTTTTCAACATTTTTATCTGTTGTGAATGCATAAATAAAGAATGAAATATTTCCCCTTCACTGAGCAAACATTTTTAGAAGGTTTAAATCATACTTAAATGGGTGGGTCAAATTTTTTAATGCAAATAGCTTGATTGAAGTCAGATTTTCTTCAAATTTTGAGTTTTTTTTTTTACTCTAGTCAATAGCAAATTGTAAAAAAATGAACTCGTGTGATGAATTTGATAGCAATTTAGATATGAGTAGACATAATTCTTTGTTTAATTATATTTAAATTAATGAAGTAATTAGTGGTCACATCTTTCTTGACAAAGTTATTGAGTTCAGTTTACCCTCAACATCTTACCTCATTTTTCACCGTACTGTTAGAATGGGAACCGAACACACTGAACTCGTACCATGCTGATGAACGAACCAAACCCTGCTGACTACCAACCCAAACTTCAATGTCACTGAGTACGTGCCAACCAGAAGGTTCTATTTTAAACTTATCAGAACCCACACTGTTTTACGAATGTGGTGCATCACTACTTACGCCAGAAATGCTTATAACTAGAAAATCCAACTGCAAATTGATTTTTTTTTTTATCATCATCCCCTCCCCAGCCTAATGATAAAATATAGAAATTTGTAACAACTAGATTCTATGACTAGATTCAATTTTATATTGCTGAATTAATGGAAGAATTGGTGAGGTCTGAATATTATTGTTAGTAAATTTATTCCTAGGTTGTTTTTTTTCCCTATATTTATGTTGAAAGACAAATATTCCTCTTTCGCAATGGTGCATAGCAGCCAATTTTATCATTTCCTATTAATATTATTATGGCACAGGCTGACATCATCCTTGCCTAGTCAAACCTTTCAGCTATGAAAAGTCAGCATTTTCTCTGTGTTCCATTATTGCCATCCCCTCTGTATGTCCTTTGGCAGCCACTCCAGTTGGCCACATCATTTGTGTTTCTTTAGGAGCAGGTTCCACTTTCTACTCATCGAGCTTATTCTGAACTTTTGAAATGATATGGATCATGGTATACTGCTCAAAGTAGTCACTACTCTATTACGCTAGTCTTAGTCTTATTTTCAATGAAATATACAAAAGCTGGCATGGCAGTACACCGCGGCAAACTTACAAAAGCCATACAAGGTACGGGTTAACCAAGCAGGTTGGCATGTGTACACATAGCACATGAATCAAAATGATGCGACCAAGTGTAAATACATTTCTAAACATTTCCACCGAAGCTTTTTAGCTTAGTAGAGAGTATATTAAACGTCATTAACATCAGTTAAAAGTTTAGAAGATAACATTTAAAGTTCATCTCCCACCTCTGACAAGAACAAGATGGCAAACTTAATAGACTGTTGCGTGTGTTTGGTGGCTTATGGGTTAAGACAAACCGAAAAAAAAGAACTTTTTTCCAGCAACTAAATTATTATTTTTTTATATATTTGCTTTAATGTCACATTTTTTTAAATCCATGTATTTTTACCCTGAGTTTAAATCTTATGTAGACTGGCATCATTTAGGGGGATGTCTTATAGCATTCAAATATTTACATGCAATGTGTGGTGAAGTGCTAAAAATGTTGCTACTAATGTCACTAACTCCTGGAGGTGTGTCTAACATGAAAGTTTATAAAACAAAATTAACTGTTTGCTGTGCGTTTTCATTAACGCTGGTGTTGGCATGATTTCTTTTTTAACCTTTCTCATGAAACTCAAAAACCTAATTTTGTATTTCTATTGCCCAAAACTTGTGTGATAAAACAACTTGGTGTGCCAGTACTGAGATCGCTTTACACTGATTCATTCTAGCCAAAAATCGGACATTGCTCTATTGTTAGTATTTGCTCAGTGATAAATTTAGACATATCNAAATCCATGTATTTTTACCCTGAGTTTAAATCTTATGTAGACTGGCATCATTTAGGGGGATGTCTTATAGCATTCAAATATTTACATGCAATGTGTGGTGAAGTGCTAAAAATGTTGCTACTAATGTCACTAACTCCTGGAGGTGTGTCTAACATGAAAGTTATAAAACAAAATTAACTGTTTGCTGTGCGTTTTCATTAACGCTGGTGTTGGCATGATTTCTTTTTTAACCTTTCTCATGAAACTCAAAAACCTAATTTTGTATTTCTATTGCCCAAAACTTGTGTGATAAAACAACTTGGTGTGCCAGTACTGAGATCGCTTTACACTGATTCATTCTAGCCAAAAATCGGACATTGCTCTATTGTTAGTATTTGCTCAGTGATAAATTTAGACATATCATTCTCAGGTCAGCCTCATTTTATTTGAGCAGTCTTGTTATGGCCATCGCTAACAAGAATGTAGAAATCAAAAAAATTCTAGTCGTGAACAGTTATCCCCTGTCTTGGATAATGATGGTGTTTGAACTGCTAACATTGTAATTATTTTTAGATGTGCTGTCCTCAGGCAGCTAAAACAGAGCCCGTGGCATAATAGCCTGAAGATGTTTGGTATTGTCTTTTAAAATAAAAGCTATGCCACCAAGAACCTACTGTTGGTTTTTAAGGTACCAGTACATTTAAACATTACATAAATATATATTTGATCATCATACTTCCTAGCTCCTACTTCTTTAGAAAAGTCATTTCTATTTCAAGGAAATTGGTGATATCTATGTCAACAGTGAGCAACAGAGTTGCTTTTTTTTTTTAATCACATTGATCAGGGACTGTACATTGTTGTGTTTGTTTACAAATCATGACTAGTCTAATTGGGAGCTGTGATTATAAAGCTTTGTTGGTAACTTCAGGGGCTGTAACTCATTTTTTTTTAAAATTAATCAAGGGTGATTAGGCTTATAGAAATCTCTGCCAATATGTGAGCAGTCTAGATGATGCTTATTTAATTATTCTTTTGTTTTATTTTTATTAATTCCTTTAACTTTGACTATAAATAATATTTGCAAATAAGAGAGAAAGATAAAATGAAGTATATTTTTTACATGACCTTGAATATATATCCAGAGTTTTTTAATGGATTATGAAACCAAGAATAAAGAAATTTATATTAATTTTATATTAATACCATTCTATTGTTAGATGGATGTGTTGGAATTAGATGACTGTAAATAGATTTTAAAAATCCACATTGAAAGACTGTTCATGTTGAATACTGAAGTTTGTCCAACTTAAAATTGTGTATGGAAATATTGCGGGCCTTGACTGGAATTCTACCATTTGTTGTGGGAATGTAAGAGATTTGTGGCAGTGACC